TAAAAGTGAAGTTTTTGTTTAAAAAATGCAAAAAAAAAAAACAAATATGACGCTAACTTTGGCCAGTGTTTGTGACTAAGTGGCAAATTTCAATTTGCAAAAACAGAAATTGGCAAATCTTATATTTGACCCTCTAACTTTCCAAAATACCATAAAACCTTTATATGAGGGGTACTGTTGAACACGTGAGACATTACTCTTCACGAATATGAGTGCTTAAGAGCAGTAAAATGTATTACACTGATAATATCATTGGTGAACGGGCAGTTTATTTGTAAAAAAAAATTACAAAAAAATATACATAAACTAATATAAACGCTAACTTTGGCCAGGGTTTGTGATTAAGTGGCTACTAAAAAAGACTGGACATTCCCCATTTTGAATACCCTAGGCTGTCTACTTTTGCAAATGGTATGCCAAGATGGGATTAGTTTCTATTCCTGGGCTACCATACAGTCTCAACAGCACATAGGCCCAGCAAACCAATCTGGCAAATTACAATGTGCAAAAACTTGTACATTGGGGTATTGCTGTACACCTAAGACATTGCTGAATACAAATATGTGTATTTTATTGCTGAAAATCTAAAAATATTATGACATTCACAGTTAAAATGGCATGCAGAACTTGAAAAGTAAAATTTCCTAATTTCTCACACTTTTTAGATTTTATTCACATTTAGTTATGTGTTATATATACATGTGATATGACATGAAAGCTCTGTTTCTCCTGAGCAAAAATGATATATAATAAGTGTGGGTGCACTTAAAATGAAAGAGGTGAATTATGGTTGAACAACATGTAGCCAAATTCCAGGGTTTTTTTTTACATTTTGTTTTGATCAAAAGGTGTATAATTGCCTCCGTCGTTAAGTGGTTAAATAATAGGAGCACTCCTTTTCTGATATTTTGTAGTTGGGTATCCACATATTTATATAAAGGGGAAAGAAGGAAATCCACCCCTAAAACTATAGGCCTTCCAGGGGAGTTCTGAATGTCCTTGTGTAGTATGGGGAGGATATAAATAACTGGCATTTTAGGGGATTCAGTATTTAAAAATGTATACTCCTTTTGCGTTAAAATTCCTCGTAAAAGAACCTTGTGTAAAGTTTTCATATATATCTTTTTTATATCCACAGTTGGAGTTATAATTTCATTTTTTATATGTTTAGTGATCTTCCAATTCTCTATATATTTCCTTTAAATGTTTTTCATTGTTCATTATTACCACTCAACTACCTTTATCTGATGGCTTAATTGTGATACTTGAATCTTTATTTAAATTATCCATAGCTTTTTTAAATTTATTTTACTTTTTATTTCTACCTCTTTATATTTAATTCCCTAATTTCTCAAATGCATGCTTTTTCAAAGACTTTCATCTTAATTGACTTTAAATGAATGGGATGAAAAAGATGAGGATTTTGATTTAAAGTCTGTGTGTTTAAAATCGTCATTTACAATTACTTTTACTGTTTCATCATCAATTGGATATATATATATATATATATATATATGTATTTTTAATACTTTTTAAGGCACAAGTTTCTTAAAAATCTGTTAATATCAGTATATGCTTCAAATTTATCACTTAAAAAAAAACCTTTATTTAAATCACTTATATGGGATGCATTTTCAAATTAAATATTTGTATCTCCTCCTTATTTTCCCTTTTTGTTCTCTCCATTCTCTTTCTTCCTGTATTTCTCCTTATAGAAACATAGAATGTGATGGCAGATAAGAACCATTCGGCCCATCTAGTCTGCCCAATTTTCTAAATACTTTCATTAGTCCCTGACCTTATCTTATAGTTAGGATAGCCTTATGCCTATCCCACGCATGCTTAAACTTCTTTACTGTGTTAACCTCTACCACTTCAGCTGGAAGGCTATTCCATGCATCCACCACCCTCTCAGTAAAGTAATACTTCCTGATATTATTTTTAAACCTTTCCCCCTCTAATTTAAGACTATGTCCTCTTGTTGTGGTAGTTTTTCTTCTTTTAAATATAGTCTCTTCCTTTACTGTGTTGATTCCTTTTATGTATTTTTGACTGTAGCAATTGTGGTTTCCAACTTATCTAATTTAACTGTATTTTGACTGGTCAGTAATTCAAAGTCTTTGGTGTCTAGAAATGGCTCAAGTTTGCCTTGTCTCTCTTCAATGATCTTATTAATTTCTTTCAGGTTTCAACATTTCTCACCAATTATAATTCTCAACTCCATGAAAAAGGATTCCAGAGCTTTTTCTCAACTTCCCATAAAAAAAACTTATCACCCTGCTCAAATGTAGGATATGTAGGAAATGTAGGAACTTTTGGCCACAAAAATGCCTCTAAAAAAATCCTGGAAAGGGCTAGAGAGCTGCAAAGGGAAGTAAAATGGGGGTAAGAGTAGGACAAGTGCCCTGCAAACAAATGTGGATAGGGAAATCACAAAAAATAACATAAAAATAAAAAATACAGCTAAGCCATAAAATAGCACTAGGTGGAATCTTTGATTTTAGCTTTGGAAGAACATAATTCAAAATCTTAAGCATGGCTGTCAGGAGGATCACCAGAATTATCCATTTGAGAGAGGGTTGGAGTGCAGGGTATTCTCTTTCATTGTTCAAACTGAGCTCAACTCCTGATGCATGGAGAAAAGGCCTTAACAAGCCTCTGCTATTGTGTACATAGTTTATACTAAGTGACCCGTAAGTTGAGGAGGCGCTGACCGTGGCGGTGTAGGTGGAAGCGGTGGTGGAGGAGGAGTAGGTAGCCAACACTGTTTTTTTATATATATATTTTTAATTGGGGTAGCCCACAAAATATTTGGACATACAAAAAAAGAAACATTTGCGGCCTGCAGTGCATTTTTTGCAGTCCTGATGCATGGAGAAATGCTCAACTCCTGATGCATGGAGAAAAGGCCTTCACAAGCCTCTGTTAATGTGTACATAGTTTATACTAAGTGACCGATAGGTTGAGGAGGCGGTGACCGTGGCGGTGTAGGTGGAAGCAGCGGTGGAGGAGAAAGAGGTAGCCAACACTGTTTTTATATATCTATTTTTTATTTTAATTGGGGTAGCCCACAAAATATTGGGACATACAAAAAAAGAAACATTTGCGGCCTGCGGTGCATTTCTTGCAGTCCTGATGCATGGAGAAATGCTCAACTCCTGATGCATGGAGAAAAGGCCTTCACAAGCCTCTGCTAATGTGTACATAGTTTATACTAAGTGACCGATAGGTTGAGGAGGCAGTGACCGTGGCGGTGTAGGTGGAAGCAGCGATGGAGGAGTAGGATGAGGTAGCCAACACTGTTTTTTATGTTGTTTTTTTTTTTTTAATTGTGGTAGCCCACAAAATATTTGGGCATACAAAAAAAGAAACATTTGCGGCCTGCGTTGCATTCCTTGCAGTCCTAATGCATGGAGAAATGCTCAACTCCTGATGCATGGAGAAAAGGCCTTCACAAGCCTCTGCTAATGTGTACATAGTTTATACTAAGTGACCGATAGGTTGAGGAGGCAGTGACCGTGGCGGTGTAGGTGGAAGCAGCGATGGAGGAGGAGGATGAGGTAGCCAACACTGTTTTTTATGTTGTTTTTTTTTTTTTTATTGTGGTAGCCCACAAAATATTTGGGCATACAAAAAAAGAAACATTTGCGGCCTGCGTTGCATTCCTTGCAGTCCTAATGCATGGAGAAATTCTCAACTCCTGATGCATGGAGAACAGGCCTTCACAAGCCTCTGCTAATGTGTACATAGTTTATACTAAGTGACCCATAGGTTGAGGAGGCAGTGACCATGGCGGTGTAGGTGGAAGCAGCGGTGGAGGAGGAGGATGAGGTAGCCAACACTGTTTTTTATATCTGTGACGAGACCAATCTCGCCACATTGCATTGGAGAAGCCGGGTTGCTCGCCTGTTGCCTTGGGATTATGGCCCCATGTTAAAAGGCTTGATTTTCCCCTGCAAAGACAAGAAAGCCGGGTCATTTGGTGCTTGCCCTGTTTGAGCAGTGATACCCCAGATAGCTATGCCATGGAGCCCGTTCGTATAATGAAAGACTATGGGAAAGACTTTGGCTCCATGGCAATTGAACTGTATGTGTGCGCTCTGAACGCCATTCAGTAATAATGTGCACTTAGACCTAAGCTATCTGGACATATGTTGCATGTCTGTGTTTTATGTCATAAATGTAACCTTGTGTATTTTATTGTATTTTACTGTCTTTTTGCTGCCATGTGTTCAATGGAGTTTTGCCTCTGTCTTTGGAGATAATTGGATTACTTCTAATTATCGCCAGGATAGAAGACTCTGTGGAACTGGTTTTGGGCAGAAAAGCCATGCTTCCTGTGGTCACAAAGGACTATGATCTATCTTTTGAACCACTGGACCAATTTGTATGATTATGATTTTGACGTATGTTTGCATTTGGAGTATGCTGATTCTGAAAATGTTTTTATGTGAATGTGATGCATACTTTTCAAGTTATGAATAATGTGGAAAAATTGTATTTCTCTGCTTGTGCTAAATTACATTACCCATTGTGTAAGGTAATTGAATCACATGCAGAGGGGAGGAATTTGTGTGGGAGTGCCTGAGTGTATTGTATGTGTTGATTGGTTGTGTTCCAAAACCCTGTGGGTGGTACTAATGTGTAAGAATGTAGAAATAAGCACAATAAACCCACAGCTCTGTCTGTTCGCTGCTTGACCCTCAACACGGAGCTTTGTCTCGTTCTTGGGGGGATTTACTGTATGCTGTTAGAGACTGATTGCCAGGAGTGTAAGCTGCTTGGGTGCTTTTCCTGTTCAGCTGCTAGCAGCTATTTGTGAGGTTCCAGTTCTGGAATTTGGAGTGCTACTTGGTATCCTGTTCGGGAGTTTGGTGTTCTGCAGTAGCTGTGCCTGCATCTCGGAAAGGGGGACGATCGCCTAAACGGTTTTAACCCCTTGTGTGCTGAAACGGTGCCGTTACAATATCTATATATATTTTAATTGGGGTAGCCCCCAAAATATTGGGACATATAAAAAAAAAAAACTCTGTTCCGCAGAGTAGCTGTTGACATTACAGTTGCGCAGGCACTTCGTTGACTCTAGAGAACCTCGGGCCAATCGCACATCCCCATGACGGCGACTTTGCATTCGGATGTTATCCATATCAACTTTCGATGCCAGTTTCTGCGCCTACCATGGTGACCACAGGTAACGGGAAATCAGGGTTCCATTCCATACAGGGACCCTAAGAAACGGCTACCACATGCAAGGAAGGCAGTAGGCGCGCAAATGACCCAATCACGACGCAGGAAGGTAGTGACGACAAATCTTTAGAGGCCCTGTAATTGTAATGAGTCCACTTGAAATCCTTTAACTCTGATCAATTGGAGGGAAGTCTCGTGCAGAGCCACTGACCCGTGTGTGCTGCAGCTGAAACTCCACTATCGCCTGCTGCTGCTCGCACAGTCTCAGGAGGCAGTGAGCGGGAAGGCCGAAGTTACGTGCAGCACAGACAGGCGAGCAGCAGCAGGGTGAGAATGCCAAAAGCACACACAGCCACTACAGTGAATGTCACATCCTGTTCCAAGTTGTGGATCAGTCTGGTGATGGCTTCTGGTATCCAGTACTCTTTTTACTGAAACTGCATCAGGGTCCTGGTATGTGGCCACACAAATGCTGGTTCTCAACACCAGGGGGCATGCGGTTACCCTGCACCAGACTCTGCTAATCCATTCCACACTGTGACTCCTAACTTCAACATCAGGCATACTGTGTCCTGGTCACCAGACTGCCCACATAACTGTGAAACTACGAATGGATCGTTAAATCTGGTATGAACCCGAACTTTGCAGTTCAGGTTTGCTTAACTCTATTATGGATGCTTTGATCGCTACATGTATTACTTGGATAACTGGTAATTCTCATGCTAATACATGCCGACAAGTGCTAGGGGACGGCCGCTCCGCTTTTGCACCCTGCTCCCTCTTATGCTGTGCTGGTGCCTCTGTGCGACCAGCCCCTCTTCCTCCAAACTGCACATGTCACTTTCATGACCTTGATTCCATGTGGGGTCTAGGACCTCATTATCCTCCACATCATCTTCCACCCACTCCTCAACCCTGCTCTACTTGCTGGTATGCACACGGCAGAAAGCCACAGCAGTTGGCACCTGTGTTTTTCCAGCATGTAAAGTCTGCAAAGGACATATGGAAATTGTTTTAGAATTGTATCCAGGCAACAGTTTTCGCTAAACTGACCTCTCAGTTTGACTTGTGAGGGTATTGCCCCAAAATTACAATATTGTTTAAGTACCTCTTAGCTATTGATAACTCGTTTAAATATAGCAGCTTGTTATCTGGTAGTGTCTAGTGTAGAACATATCAATCTGTTCTCTATCACTTAGATCTGTGTAACAAGTGTTGTAGGTATGAAACAATATTACAAGTGACTGATGTAGTAAATTCAAATTAAAGTTACGCTTCGATTTAAATCTCAGATGTGAAGTGAACACCCCAAATTTACTATTTAGCACAAAAACAAATTAACTTTTTAAAACTCCAATGTAAGCAGCAGATTAGCAGCAAAACAATTAGAATGTTTCCAACTGCGCTGTAAGCGCACTATTAGACGCTTCTGTTTGACTCTTAGATATGAAGAGCACGCCCAAAATGTACTATTTAGCAGATTAGCACCCAGAAAATAAGAACTTTTACAACTGCGCAGTAAGCGCACTATTTCACGCTTCTATTTGACTCTCAGATATGAAGAGCAACCCCAAAATGTACTATTTAGCAGTTTAGCAGCAAAACAATTAGAATGTTTACAATTGCACTGTAACCGCAGTATTTGATGCTTCTATTTGATTCTCAGATATGAAGTGCAGGCCGCAAAATGTACTATTTAGCAGATTAGCACCCAGAAAATGAGAATTTTTACAACTGCGCTGTAAGCACACTATTAGATGCTTCTATTTGACTCTCAGATATGAAGAGCAACCCCAAAATGTACTATTTAGCCGTTTAGCAGCAAAACAATCAGAACGTTTACAATTGCGCTGTAACCACAGTATTTAGCGCTTCTATTCGACTCTCAGATATGTAGTGCAGGCCGCAAAATGTACTATTTAGCAGATTAGCACACAGAAAATTAGAATTTTTACAAATGCGCTGTATTCACAGTATTAGACGCTTCTATTTGACTCTCAGATATGAAGAGCAGGCCCCAAAATGTACTATTTAGCAAATTAGCAGCAAAACAATTAGAATGTTTACCACTGCGCTGTAAGCGCACTATTAGATGCTTCTATTTGACTCTCAGATATGAAGAGCACACCCAAAGTGTACTATCTAGCAGATTAGCACCCAGAAAATAAGAATGTTTACCACTACGCTGTAAGCACACTATTAGATGCTTCGATTTGACTCTCGGATATAAAGTGCACCCCACTAAAATACTATTTAGCAGTTTAGCACCCCAAAAATTTTAAGTTTTAAAACTGCAATGTGACAGCAGTATTTGACACTTCTATTTGACTTTCAGATATGAAGAGCAAGCCCAAAATGTACTATTTAGCAGTTTAGCAGCAAAACAATTAGAATTTTTACAATTGCGCTGTAACGCAGTATTTGACGCTTCTATTTGACTCTCATATATGAAGTGTACGCCCCAAAATGTACTATTTAGCAGATTAGCACCCAGAAAATAAGAATGTTTACCACTGCGCTGTAAGCACACTATTAGACGCCTCAATTTAACTCTCATATATGAAGTGTATGCCCCAAAATGTACTATTTAGCAGATAAGCACCCAGAAAATAAGAATGTTTACCACTGCGCTGTAAGCACACTATTAGACGCTTCTATTTGACTCTCAGATATGAAGTGCACGCCTCAAAATGTACTATTTAGAAGATTAGCAGCAAAACAATTAGTATGTTTACCACACTATTAGACGTTTCTATTTGACTCTCAGATATGAAGAGCACGCCCCAAAATGTACTATTTAGCAGTTTAGCACCAAAACAATAAGAATGTTTACAACTATGCTCTAAGCGCACTCTTTGACGCTTCTATTTGACTCTCAGGTATGAAGAGCACACCCAAAATGTACTATTTAGCAGTTTAGCAGCAAAACAATTAGAATGTTTACAATTGCTCTGTAAGCGCACTATTAGATGCTTCGATTTGATTCTCAAATATGACGTGCACGCCCCAAAAAGTACTATTTAGCAGTTTAGCACCAAAACAATAAGAATGTTTACAACTGCGCTATAAGCGCACTATTAGACGCTTCTATTTAACTCTCTCATATGAAGAGCAGGCCCCAAAATGTACTATTTGGCAGATTAGCAGCAAAACAATTAGAATGTTTACTACTGCGCAGTAAGTGCACTATTTGACGCTTCTATTTGACTCTCAGATTTGAAGTGTACCGCAGGCCGCATATGTACTATTTAGCAGATTAGCAGCAAAACAATTAGAATTTTTACAATTGCGCTGTAACGCAGTATTTGACGCTTCTATTTGACTCTCAGATATGAAGAGCAGGCCACAAAATGTTCTATTTAGCAGATTAGCACCCAGAAAATAAGAATGTTTACCACTGCGCTGTAAGCACACTATTAGACGCTTCGATTTGACTCTCATATATGAATTGTATGCCCCAAATTGTACTATTTAGCAGATTAGCACCCAGAAAATTAGAATTTTTACAACTGCGCTGTAAGCACACAATTAGACGCTTCTATTTGACTCTCAGATATGAAGAGCAAGCCCCAAAATGTACTATTTGGAAGATTAGCAGCAAAACAATTAGTATGCTTACCACTGCGCTATAAGCACACTATTAGACGTTTCTATTTGACTCTCAGATATGAAGAGCAGGCCCAAAATGTACTATTTAGCAGTTTAGCACCAAAACAATATGAATGTTTACAACTGTGCTCTAAGCGCACTATTAGAGGCTTCTATTTGACTCTCAGATATGAAGAGCACGCCCAAAATGTACTATTTAGCAGATTAGCACCCAGAAAATAAGAATTTTTACAACTGCGCAGTAAGCGCACTATTTGACGCTATTATTTGACTCTCAGATATGAAGAGCACGCTCAAAATGTACAATTTAGCAGTTTAGCAGCAAAACAATTAGAATGTTTACAATTGCTCTGTAAGCGCACTATTAGACGCTTTGATTTGACTCTCAGATATGACGTGCACACCCCAAAATGTACTATTTAGCAGTTTAGCACCAAAACAAGAAGAATTTTTACAACTGCGCTATAAGCGCACTATTAGACGCTTCTATTTGACTATCAGATATAAAGAGCAGGCCCTAAAATTTACTATTTAGCAGATTAGCAGCAAAACAATTCGAATGTTTACAATTGCTCTGTAAGCGCACTATTAGACGCTTTGATTTGACTCTCAGATATGACGTGCATGTCCCAAAATGTACTATTTAGCAGTTTAGCACCAAAACAATAACAATTTTTACAACTGCGCTGTAAGCACACTATTAGATGCTTCGATTTGACTCTCAGATATGAAGTGCACGCCCTAAAATGTACTATTTTGCAGTTTAGCACCAAAACAATAAGAATGTTTACAACTGTGCTCTAAGTGCACTATTAGAGGTTTCTATTTGACTCTCAGATATGAAGAGCAAGCCCAAAATTTACTATTTAGCAGATTAGCACCCAGAAAATAAGAATTTTTACAAGTGCGCTATAAGCACACTATTAGATGCTTCGATTTGACTCTCAGATATGAAGTGCATGCCCCAAAATGTACTATTTAGCAGTTTAGCACCAAAACAATAAGAATGTTTACAACTGTGCTCTAAGCGCACTATTAGAGGTTTCTATTTGACTCTCAGATATGAAGAGCAGGCCCCAAAATGTACTATTTAGCAGATTAGCAGCAAAACAATTAGAATGTTTACAATTGCTCTGTAAGCGCACTATTAGATGCTTCGATTTGACTCTCAGATATGACGTGCACGCCTCAAAAAGTACTATTTAGCAATTTAGCACCAAAACAAGAAAAATTTTTACAACTGCGCTGTAAGCACACTATTAGATGCTTCTATTTGACTCTCAGATATGAAGAGCACGCCCAAAATGTACTATTTAGCAGATTAGACCCAGAAAATAAAAAATTTTACAACTGCGCAGTAAGCGCACTATTTCACGCTTCTATTTGACTCTCAGATATGAAGAGCACGCCCAAAATTTACTATTTAGCAGATTAGCAGCAAATCAATTAGAATGTTTACAATTGTACTGTAACCGCAGTATTTGACGCTTCTATTTGACTCTCAGAT